ATCTTTTTTCTAAGTTTGATACATTTGATTTTAAGAGATCTATCTGTTAAGTGAGTATATAAGTTAATAATCATTCCTAGCAATCCAGTAAAATCATGTGTATAATTAGTTATAGTGGTGATAATATTTGGAGAACCTGGTGCGTTTTCTAACAGATCTATAAATTGGTCGTGATTAAGGGTATATGGTGGTGAATGTTCATTTATTATTGTTTTTAGGTCAGTATCAGAACTTTTCTTGGGTTTTTTGTTGGGTTTTTGTGTAGGTTTCCTAAAAGGTATTTCTGTTTGTTAATCTTTTTCTGACAGAGCTGGTGTATATATTGGTGAAGGTGATAGAATTTTATCTTCTTCTTCTTCTTTAAGTGCCGTCTCCTTTAAGAAGGTTGGCTATCATCACGGCTATCTTCACCTTTGACACTGCTGCTCTAAACAGCTCAACAGAGTTACAATTGTACCACTGCCTCAAATTGTTTAGCCAGGATACACGTCGTCGGCCTATGCTTCTTCTGCCCAGTATCTTTCCCTGTATAATGATCTGCAGCAACTCATATCTCTCACCTCTCATGACATGACCCAGATACTGCAATTTTCTTATTTTAATTGTATTTAATATCTCCTTTTCCTTGTTCATTCTTTTTAAAACGTCGTTGTTCGTAACCTTATCGATCCAACTTATTTTTAAAATTCTTCTATAAGCCCACATCTCAAACGCTTCTATTCTGTTACTTATATCTTTTTTAAGCGTCCAAGCCTCCATTCCATATAATAACACAGAAAATACATAACATCTAAGCATTCGTACTTTAAGTTGCAGACTCAGATCATTGCTGCAAAGTACTTTTCTCATAGTATTGAATGTTGATCGGGCTTTTCCTATACGTGATTTGATTTCCTGTGTGTAATCGTTGTTTTCGGTTATGATTGTTCCCAAGTATGTATATCTGTTCACCTTTTGAACGAGTTCGTCCCTAATCCATAACGTGTCCTGTTGTTGTGTCTTTGCGATGGTCATGAATTTCGTCTTTTTGATATTTAACGTAAGTCCAGCCTCTTCGCTACTGTCTACAATCTTATTTATCAGAACCTGCAATTCTTCAACTGACTCTGCGATTACTAAAGTATCATCGGCGTATCTGATGTTATTTATAAGTTCTCCGTTGACTTTAATTCCACTTGATGTTTCCTTTAGTGCCTTCTGAACTACCTCTTCTGAATAGAGGTTAAAAAGCAGCGGAGACAATATGCATCCCTGCCTTACCCCTCGTTGTATTTCTATTTCTTCTGATAGTTCGTTGCCAACCTTTACAGATGCAACTTGATTAAAGTAAAGGTTTGATATTATTCTAATATCTTTCATATCCAGATTTTTATCTTGAAGTAGCTGTAGGAGGCGATTATGTCTGACTTTGTCAAATGCCTTATTGTAATCAAGGAAACAGACATAAAGAGGTTGGTTAACATCCATACATCTTTGGGCCAATACATTCAGGGCAAACAAGGCCTCTCTTGTACCCATTGCGTTTCTGAAGCCAAACTGCGTGTTACTAATATCTTGCTCCAGTTTTCTGAAAATTCTTTGATGTATAATTTTCAAGAATATCTTTAGAGTGTGGCTCATTAAGCTGATGGTTCGATGGTCACAGCATTCTCTAGCGTTAGCTTTTTTCGGTAGAGTCACGAACGTCGACTTAAGCCATTCTTTTGGAATGACGCCTGTATCATATATGGTGTTGTACAAGTCTTTTAGTATATCTATTTGATCTTCTGCGATTAATTTTATAATTTCCGCTGGTATCTCATCAGGACCTGTAGCTTTATTATCTTTTGCCAATTTTACTGCATGCATGACTTCTTCTTTTGTTATACTGGGCCCCGTTTCTCTACTGTTGTATAGTTCTATGTTTTCTGGTTGTCTCTCATCTTTAAATAATTCCTGTATGTATTGTTTCCATCTTTCTATTTTCTTGTTGTTATCAAGGATAATTTTACCTTTTTCATCTAATAGAACACTACTGTGGTTTGTTTTTCTGATGCCGGCCAGTTCTTTTACCTTCCTATGTAGATTAAAGTCATCATGCCTTTCCAATAGTACTTCTATTTCCTCACACTTGTTTGAGTACCATTTTTCCTTGGCTTCTCTTATTTTCTTTCTAATTACACCATATATGTCTTTATATTTTTCGATGTCTACGTTCTTGTACAATCTTCTCTTTTCCATCAATTGCAGTATCTCATCATTAATCCATGACTTTGTTGTGTTATTATTTTTCTTTCCTTTTAGAATCTCCTTCGTTGGATTCAGCATTATGTTTTTAAATGTTTCCCATTTTCTGTTCGAATCTTCGTCTGGATCGATTATATTTATCTTTATTTCCTCGTTAATTTTTTTGGATAGCTGATCTCTTACAAATGAATTTTTCAAAAATGAACGTTGTATTTGATTCTTATTGCAACGTGCAGTTAGTTTTTTAAATCGGAGATCGAATGATACAACAACGGGATTGTGGTCTGTGGCTGCATCAGCCCCAGGGTATGTTTTTGCTGATTTAATGGAGTTCCGAAACCTTTTTCTTATTAAAACATAGTCTAGAATTTTATCTACGTCACGTTTACGGCTTGTGTGTTGAGTAACATCTAGAGATATAGCGCTGTTATTTTCTGAAGGTGCAATGGTATTGGTAACTGAGGATTCTTTTAGTTCGACATGTTCAAGATTTGTACTGTTTGTAAAGGAAGTAGATTGCTGATTGGACAATTTTTCTATGGTGTCCATGTGTGAAGGAGTGTTTAACGATGTTAAAATAGTTGGAGGTGTGGGTGATTGTTGAGGGTTTGTGGGATTTTTACAATTATTAGCATTATGTCCTTGCTGTTTGCAGTTAAAGCATAACTGATTATCTTGGGATAAGAAAATTCGATAGGATTTGTTATCGTAATTAATCAAAAAAGATTCGGGTAAAGGATTTATAACAGGGTTGATAAAAACTTGTCTTCTAAAACTGTAAATATGACTGAATTCCGGTAAGGTAGAGCTAATACGAAGAAAGGTCATTGATGACATTAGCTTGAGACCTAGGTTTTCTAATTCGTGAATAAGAATATCATGGGGAATTGAGGGACATACATTTGATAGAACTAACCTATCCGCTTAAGTAATATATTTTCTAGCTTGAACTGGTTCATCATTTATTATTATTACACCATCATGTACCTGCATAAAGTTATCCACAATTTCTTTGCTCGCTATATACATGCATACTCGATTATTTGACAGTCTTGAAGAAAATAAGATGTTTTTGGGCTGTATAAGTGCTCCTAGTGGTATGAGGTAGTCCTGTAGGCGTAATCCATCCTTTGAAGAGAAAACGATCGCTTGTTCAGGACTAGGATATGTATGTTGACTTAGAACTTTTGAGTAGGATTTAACTGTGTTGGTATGTTGTGGTACAGAACTAATTACGTTGGAACTTCCATCTGATGTTACGGACATGATGAATCTTCTATATGTGATCTTATCAGGAATCTATTTTATATATGGATTAAATAAAATAAAGTCCGACTCTGTTTATTTTAAAACTAGTTGATCGGTCTGGTAATTACCAAATTAGCTAAATACCGATAAGAGTACAACTAGTTTTTTGGTTAATTTGTAACTACAGTTATTAATAGAATATGTTATTGAAATTAAAAGTGATATTTTTAATCAAACTATGATTAATTGGAAAGAAGTACTTACGGCACTTACAAATCACTGTAAACTTCTTTTATTTATCACTTTTAATTATTTAAATTTATACTTTTTGTGAAAGGTGTACATGAAGAAGGCTATTCCGAATAAAATGATATTAATCCAGGAGTACCACAGGGCAATGCTTTGGACAAGGTCCTATATCTGATTTATACCAGTAATATTTTCGAATTACCACAACGAAGCGGCTAGAAATCTACAAACTTCCATTAATTAAAATATAGAATGGATTAAACTGTAGCGAATTAAGTTGACTGAAACTAAGTTCGTCCATATCAAATTTATAAATAAAAATAAATTATTTGTTGTGTGTTTGGCAGATACAGCCAAACACATGTCTGCATTCATGCAGACACAGCCAAATATTCGGATATAACTTTAGACGCAAGGCCCACGTAAAGAAAAAACGACAGGAGCTCGGCATAAGGTACAAAAAATGTATTGGTTATTGGGACAATATTCCACGATATCAATCTGCTATAAAATTCTTCTGTACAAACAAATTCGTAAGCCGGTATGGGCACATGGCGTCCAGTTGTGGGGTTGTGCTAGAAAAAGCAATATATACATCCAGCGTTTTCAGAATAAAGTGCTGATGAATATCATGAATGCCCCTTGGTATTTTAGAAACAGTAACTAGAGGTGCTTAGAGATAGACACTGTTAAGCAGACCGTCGAGAAATTTACTAGAAGTCACTAGCAAATGTTCTCAATTACAGTAACCCCGATGCCATCCAGTTCCTCGACAATGTGAATTTGATCACAAGACTCAAGAGGAAAAATCCTTTCGAGTTATTGAAGTGATAGTATAAAGCAGTGGATAGTATGGCAGTGATATACGTCAAAATGTGTGTAATTAAGCTGTTAGAGTCTAAGGATAGCTAATTTAAAAGTTTAGAGTTGATCTTTAGTTTAAGTTTTCTTGTTGGTAATTTAAGTTAGACAAAAACTGATTATTGATATTTACAGATCAGATTGCAGTTTATTACTATTTAACTGGGAATAAGCCACATTTAAAGATAAAAATACGTTTATTGACGTTTCAATTTCTACTTCGGAAATCGTTTTTTAAAATACAAAAATAAATAATAGTCAAATAGTAATTAATTTAAAATGCCACAAGAAAATAGCTTCAGAACAATATTAAGATTGCAGTTAGCATAAAATCGACCACAATGGGATATTTTACGAAATAAAAACTGAAATATTTAACATACTATTCCTTATATCTTAATTTATTTTATTTTTAGAACACCGGATCTGATCTTCCTAGAATTAATGAATTTTTGGTCACCACAAATGTATCAAACCATTTTGCAGTAACAAGTGTTATAAGTAATGTGGAAAACTCAGACAGAAATGCAAAGCAAACAGCTTTTTCCGTAGTTTTACCAGATAGAGCTTTTATTTCAAGTTTTTCTATGGATATCGATGGAAAACAATACAAGGCCTTCGTGAAAGAAAAGGAGATAGCTAAAAAAATTTACGACCAGGTATGATATTCTTAGAATTTTTGGTTTTTTGTTAGATGTTTCATTACTTGTTGAATTTATTATATAATAATATTAAGTAATGTAATAAATCATTTACTTACGTTTGTAACTCTTCTCCCCTTATTTTACTTGTTTTGTACAAATTACAAAAAAAAATGTACCTACACTAAATTTTGCAGTCATCAACGTCAGTATACTTATCTTATTGCTTTTCTAGCTGCTTCAAGTGCAAGGTGCAAGTTATAAGTTATACTAGCATGTTACTAGTGAGTAAAATTGGGTAAGCTGCGAAACCTGTTTTTAACCCATTTAAGGCCATCGTCTTTTTAAAAGACCGCTACAAAGATGCCTGTAGTTTAATTATTTTGCTAGTTATTAAGAGATGTCGTGCTGTTTCGTGTAATAAGAAGCTAAATTATTAAAAAATTAACAACTGTTGTATAAATCGGGTGTTTTTTGCAGAATTTTTGAGGTTACCTTTATTGTTTGGTTACCAAACCTGACTGATAGAAGGTGAGTAAAAATATTGTTTATATCCCTTAATTTTAAAGATATTTTTGTATGTATTAAAAATGCCTTAAAAAGGTACCTATATAATATTAAAACTATTATTATTTTTGTATATTAGCTATCAAAGTTTGATGTTCTTTATAAAGAACGGTGGCGTTTTTCGCTATAATGAGTATGAATATTTTTTAGGTACTGGACAAAATCGTTGACTTTAAGTGAGTTAATGGGCGAGATAGAAAATCTGTCAGATAATGAACTTCCTGACGACATAATTATTTTTCCACCCAAAGATGGGGAAGAGACTTACGAGGACAGTGTTGATGAAGATGCAGTGGAGGTAAGTAACTTGCCAGGAAATCAACTACAAGTAAAGGCAGAGATAGTCATAAATTATTCAAAAACCCATACCAAATCCGATATAAATTAAGATGAAGACGACATTCCTTCGCCAGACTCTAAAAAGAATTCGTCAGAATCTAAAAAACAAGTAGATCCTAGTGGCCAAAGAACAGAAGCGCAAACGCCGCAAAAACTATCGATGGACCAAGAGAGATATACATAGCAAGATTTCAAGTTGGAGTATAATAGAAGGTCCAAAAAACATCATTTCCGCCGTAGATACTTTTTCCTATTTTTTGATGATACATTTATTCAGATGCTTGTTGAATTTTCAAATATGTATGCCAATTTACATACATGTCAAGCCGATATTACAACAAACGAAATTAAATATTTTATTGGAATTTTATTACATAGTGGATATTGTGGAGTTTTCCTAGGCGAGATATGTACTGGGAAAAATCCCCTGATTCTATTTACGACCTTGTAGCTAATGCAATCTAGAAACCGTTTCAGATTTATCATAGAGAATATTCATTGCTGTGATAATGCAAAATTGGATACACAGGACAAAATTTCAAAGGTTCGACCACTAATTGATATAATGAATCAAAAATTTATCGATTTAGCACCACTTGATTATTAAAAACATGGATCCAACCAGTTTATCCATGGTAAACTCATCAGGTGGGGATATATGTTTTGAATGAGGACTGCAAGACTAGGTTATGTGGAGTGGTTTGATCCAGGGATCTTGATCCACTATTCAAGATAACTATAAACTTTTTGGTTTGGGACATAGTGTTGTTTTACAATTTGTTGATGCCCTAGAAGTAGAGGCTTCCAAATTACCCTATGATATATATTTTAATAACTTTTTAACCACGCTGCTGTTTTTGGAAGAACTTTCATCAAGGGGATGTAAAGGAACAGGTACAATAAAAAAAATCGCCTAGGTAAAGATTGTGATATTGAGGGTTCAGACACACTGAAAAGGAAAGAAAGTGGTTCGTTTGACTACTGCACGGCAGGGCAAAGTGAAATAGTAGTTTGCAAATGGAATAACAATAATGTTGTTTCCATAATATCCAATCACAATCAGATTTATCCAACAAGGCAAGTACAACGGTATTCTCATAAAGAAAAAAAGAAGGTGCTTGTTCATCAACCTAATATTGGTTGAAGGTTGAAAACAGTATAATGAAAACATGAATGGGACGATCGGATAGATGAAAATATAAGCTACTATAGAGTAGCCATTTGTGCCAAGAAATGGTATTTTCCCATAATAAGCTACATGGTAGATCTAGCAGAACAAAATGCCTGGCAACTCCATAGAATTATCGGTGGTAAAATGGATCATTTACAGCATCGTCGCACAATTACAGTAGGGATTCTTGAATCTTTTAAAAAGACAACAAAAAGAGGACCCAGCAAACCTTCAGCCAATTTGCATAGTCACTCAAGATACGATCGGAAGGACCACCCTATTGTCTATAAGGACACTCAAACGCAATAAATGTAATGTAGCACTACATCCAAAACAATATTTTTATAAATATAATACACACTAGATATTTAAGATTTTTTTTATTTTAATTTGTTAAAATAATTCGAATAAAAAACGTTGTTTTAAAATTTTGGTACTTTTAATAATTTGTTATTCACAATCATTTATTATGCCACATTTCTTTTAAAAGAAAAACCCTTTTTTGAAAAATATATCATATTTTTTGCAAAATTTCTTCCATACTTTATTTCTGTCAACCTTAACAAGCCTAAAAATTATATATATCATCATTATAAGAGAAAAAAAGGTTTCGACCTTAATAGGTTTAAAGAAGTCAAACTGCTAAAAACTTAACAAAAAACCTACTTTTATAAGATGAATAGGTTGATTAAACTTTCAATAAACACGACACAACAAAAATACTTCTTTTGTCAGATAGTTGACAATTTTTTGTTGTCAGTCACGCCGTGTAGGTATGTCATTTCCAAATATCTTGATAATTAATTTTTTCAATTCTATCTACTATCTTGTTGAATAATATAATATTTCTGCATTACTTTATATTATTTTTATACTAAACGTATCTAACTCATTTGTTCTTAGTCTGTAGCAACAGGATACAGTGCTGGACATGTCGCTGTGAGCACAAAGAATTCAAACAGGTTCACCATAACAGTTAACGTAGAACCGCTAAGCAAGATCCTCTTTAAATTAGAATATGAAGAGCTATTACAAAGAGAAAATGGGCAGTACCAAATCATTAGCAATATTCAACCTGGACAAATGGTTAAAAAACTAAAGGTTATGGTAAGTATTATATGTATATAGTAGTAGATATATATATATATATATATATATATATATATATATATATATATATATATATATATATATATATATATATATCGCAAACAGGAGTACGACCGTCTATCCAATATATCATAAGGATTACTCAGACGAGTGGTGGGTTCAATTATCGGTCAACTAGGTGGAGAAATAAAAGAAAGTTGATACTACTTCATCTATTTTGAAGACGTTTCGCTATCGAATTCTGATAGCATCATCAGTTCATCTAAAAATTTTACATTATGAGTACCACATTCTTCATGAATGTGTGTCCGAATAGATGAAGTAGTATCAACTTTGTCTTTTATTTCTCCACCTAGTTGACCGAATTATCGGTCAACTAGGTGGAGAAATAAAAGACAAAGTTGATACTACTTCATCTATTTTGAAGACGTTTCGCTATCGAATTCTGATAGCATCATCAGTTCATCTAAAAATTTTACATTATGAGTACCACATTCTTCATGAATGTGTGGTATATATATATATATATATATATATATATATATATATATATATATATATATATATATATATATATATATATATATATATATATATATATATATATACGTAGGAAATTATTAGGTAAAGTGGTCTATATAAAAATCTTTGTTTTTTCTAAAAACTCAATATTTTGCTATTTATTTTTTAGCATCATCAGGAGTAAACTAAAATAATTTCAACAATACAAAAAAGGACAAAAAAGGAATACAAATACTATATTCAAAAATGTTCCTAATATTAGTATAGCTAAATATAATACCATGAACAGCAAACAACTATTTTTAAAAATCAAAGACCCAGTACCAACCTTATACAAAAGTAATGTTGTTTATGAAATACCGTGTCTAGGATGTCAAAATAGCTACATTGGCCAAACATCATAATGGCTAAAACAACACATCACCCAACATAAAATAGATTGCCGCTTGGGCAAAATACTTACGCAGTAGTTGACAACTATGAAAACAATGGTCATATGCTAGACTAGACTATACTAACAAAGCTAGACTAGATTAGACTAACAAAGCTCACATTTTGGCACAGGCTGATAATTACAAAAGTAGATTATTTCTTGAAATGTATCACATCAACAAAAATAAAACCACTTTAAATTATAAATCAGACACTGGACAGTTAAGCAACATATAATGTAATATTTAAAAAAAAATTATAAATATTCAAATAGCTAACATTCACCTTAATAACAACTAACCAGAATAATTCATCAAAGAAATATTATTCCTCTAATGTTTCTTCTGTTATTTTTAATTTTACATTTGAAGTAATTTTAATTTTTTATCGTATTGCTGTAATGAACGTGCTATGCCAGATTTGATTTGAAAAATCTTTTAATTTCTGTAAGTGTTTTTTAAAATGTATTTGTAATCCATTTTTGTAATATTGAAGTTGTTTGAGTGTACTCCCGATGATGCTAAAAAATAAATAGGGAAATATTGAGTTTTTAGAAAAAAAAACAAAGATTTTGACCACTTTACCTGATAATTTCCTACATATTTATAAATTATTTTTTAGTCCAAATAATCACTTGTAATGTATATATATATATATATATATATATATATATATATATATATATATATATATATATATATATATATATATATATATATATAGCATCGAGAAAAGGAGTACGACCGTCAATCCAATATAAATTAAGGATCACTCGAAGAGTGGTGGGTTTTTTCGGTCAAAAGGTGGAGAAAAAAAGACAAAGAAGGTGGCTACTTCATCTATTTATTGAAGACGTTTCGCTTTCTAATCAGAAAGCATCATCAGTTCATCTAAAAAGAACAATATGAAAAACCAAACATCCAAAGAAAAGTTATTAAGTGTGTTACCTCAAAAAGACAGGTAGCAGTCAATTATATTAATATTATAAAGAAGCTTGTGTCATTAGACATTATAAGATTGTTATATAAACAATAAATTGAACGTACTACGGTTAACAATTTTCTCAAACTTAGCACAGCAAAAGAACATGTGGTAATTGTACATGTATATAAAAATTATGTAAAAAAAAATTTAAGTATAAAAAACACATTAATATGAAGAAGAACTAATAAAGATCCAAGATGCACTTACAACAGTATATCAATAGTTAAAGTTTAATTTTGACTTTAGGTAGCATTATTAAAGTGATTAGATTGAAATTTAGTCATTTAAAAGTACAATGAAGTTACCACTACGAGCTTCTAGTCTGCTGCCGGCGAAATGAAGGCAAAAAGTATTAACAACGCCAACAACATGAAAAGACAGTGGCCTTGAGGTCAACGCGTGACAGAACAGCAAGGCGAAATACCAACTCCAATACAATAGAGCAGTTTATTTAAAAAAATATGACAAATTTGGTTGACAACCTGTCTGTAAAAACCAAAAAATGAAAGGAAAAGGTGGTTGAGAACACCATTTTTTCCCTCAGTGATCGGTTGAGAGAAACAAAGAACAAACAAGTAAGGTCAATCCAAAAAATCATATATTAATAGTCTACGTTGTGGCTGGTTAGCCAGCCAAAGGTGAAGATTGATTAAACTTCCAACACTCCAAGGTTCATAATATTTGGAACTGAGATTAATAAGGATTCTATGAATCAATTATAATAATAAAGTTGTATTGAACTATTTGATTAGAAACAATTAATACAATAAGTAAACGTCAACGTTGCATTTACTTATTGTATTATTAGTTAATGTATCTTGCGGAGCTAACAGGTTTCCTATACCAATCTGTTGTTATTACGTTGTTAGTGTTACGTATTAGTTTGATGTGAACGAATGGGACTGATTGATGTTTGTCTTCTGTTTCAACTGTAAATTTGATATGTCGGTTGAAGTCGTTAAAAATATATAAGGGTTTCTTTATCATATCTTTTCGTAGGACTAAAATTATATCTTCGACGTATTTCTTTAGAAAGGTTATTTTAAATGGAAAAATAGGGATGTTCAAAACAATAGGAACAAAAATATCATCTGAAAATTGGCAAAAAACTATAAGACGTGTCATAGCAGAGAAAGAAACATTCTGAAAACTCGATATGTTAATAGAGGAAACAATAGAACCAATTATTATTTCTGTGGGAAATGAATAAACTGATGATGATAATAATGCCTCCTTATCGGAAGAAGACAACTTATGTATTTAGCTATGTAACTATATATTTATATTACTAATTACTAATTATAAGTTTATATGACGCTAATACCAGAAATATATCTATTATTAAATTGTAAGGAAATGCATGGGTGTGGGTGTAGATGCAACGAGGGTGTATTTTATCACCACTATTGTTTAATTTATACAGTGAAGCATCACAGAATTAGCGTTAGCGAATTCAATAAAGGCCTAATAATAAACGGTGAGTCACTTAATAACATAAGATATGCTGACGATACCGTTCTTCTGGCTTGAACACTAGAATTGCAACACCTTGCTCAACGACTAAATATATATTGCAACGATTATGGACTAAAAATAAATTAGAAAAAAAAGCAAGTTCATGGTATTTATAAAAGCACAAAATATCAAAGTCATGCAAAGAAAACACAAAAATTAAACAAATATCTGCATACAAATACCAAAGAATATAGATGCTTAAGCGTCTATATTCTTTGCAAATACCTTGAAGCATGGATCACAGAAGATACTGATCAAACAAAAGAAATAAGATAAGCATTGCAATTGCACGATCAACTTTTAATAGAATGAGAAAACTTTTCTCTAATTGCAATATCAATTTAACGCTCCAGATAAGATAATATCAAATTAACGCTCCAGATAAGAATGCTTCGATGTTATTGTTTCTCCACCCTTTTGTATGGAGTTGAAGCCTAAACACTAAAATAATCCAATATTAAAAACCGGGAAGCATTCGAAATGTGGTATTACCGGCGTATTCTGAAAATATCATGGATGGATCGTAAAACAAGCGCACAGGTTCTCGAACAACTATGAAAACAATGCGAAATTTTTAATTCCATAAAAATCAGGAAATTGGAATACATGAGGCAAATCAAGAGAGGTGAAAAATACGAACTATTAAGAAATATAATACATGGCAAACTCAAAGGCAGAAGAAGCGTAGGAAGGCGTAAAATCTTGTGGCTACTCAATCTCCGTGAGTAGTTTGAATGCAGTTCAATAATTGAACTATTTAGGCGCGTAACAAATAAAATTATAATTGCCAGAATGATTTCCAATCTCCGATAACAGCTTAACCTAAAGAAGAAGTTGGAAATGTCCTAAACCAATATTTAGTATTTTTATAAAAATAAATGTGGGTTACTTAATATTAACATTTTAGCTTTTTCTATTGTATTAAAGTAAAGTAATTTTATATTCTCCGTCACTGAAGTGTTCAGTTATTGCTTAATCTCTTAGGGTTGCTCTTTTGATTTTAACATGTAGTGTATTTGAGGTTTGTCGGGGTGGTCATATTAAAGTGGAGTGAAAGATCAGATAACCTATGTAGATAACCCTGTATTAAGACATTTGCTATAAAATTTGTGCTGCCAATCATTTTCAAATATACTATATTTAATTCTTTAATTATACCTAGATATTATGTCACTTATCACATAATAACTATGGATGTTATATCTCAAATAAAAAGAAAACGTAAAAGAGTTATTAACTCATTAATTTTACTATAATTTATGACGACCAGTGGCGCCACAACCAAAGTTAATAGTAACATTATAATTTCTATTGTCTTTTGTTAAATTCGAGTTTATGTATCGTTTTAGATAATAATCAGGGAAAATCAACCCTTAGCTTTCGTGAACACACCTTATCTTCAAGCAGGTAGTTCATCAATGGACCTGGCACAAACAAAAATAGATCCTGACGCACGTGTCTATAAGAAAAATAATTCAGCTTTGATAATCTTTGAACCCAATATTGAAAGACAAATGGAATTTGCATGCAATGGACTTGGAAATACAGAATATGATGGGTTTGCTGGACAGTTTATTGTTAATTATGATGTTAATAGGACAAATGAAGGTGGGGAAGTAAGTATTGAACAAAAAAGTTAAACATTTTAGAGACAAAAACATTTTTTTTTATCTAAGAAAAAATATATTACTGAATATTGATAGTTTCCCTGGCGATATAAGATTGGACAATATTGGTCATTTGATTAGAAAGCACGATACAAGTGCACGAAAGAAATGTAGATTATGCAAAAGTCATACTATATGTATGCAAAAAATATAAAATTCATTTCCACACCGAATGTTTCGAATCCTTTCATACAAAATATTAATTCTGTTTTATGTATAACCGTATTGGCCAGGTGCCACAATAACATTCTAAAAATTAAGGGTGCTTACACGCACCCTTAATTTTTAGAATGTTATTGTTAATTTTTTCGTTAAAAAATCATAAACATATTTTAGTTAAGACGTTTTTAACTAGTTTCAATAAAAAAATCGAAAAAATTATTGTTATTCATTGTTTGGCCGTTAATGAATTAACTCCCGCTCAAGAACTAGAAGTTTACGTTGCAAGTCCGAAAAATGCTATTTTTCAGATTCCATGGCACGTCCTGGAAGCTTGCGAGAACCTAAAATAAAGAAAAGAAAGAGTAAATTATTTAATTTTGTAGTTCGTTTTATTGATAATCCGTTCACAAGTTCGTAAAAATCACCCACAACCTCTTGATTTTATTTACTATTAAAATAATAATTCAACTGTCTTAATTTTTGACTGTTTAACCCTTGAAGAAGCAAGTTTCTTATGATGAACTTTTTTCAAAGTTTTTTTCAGATAATAGTTTGGAATACTGTAGTTAGTACATCAGTTACTAGATTTTGAATATATTTTTGTTTTTTCTATGAAAAAAAAGGTGGTCAACCGTTGTACCAGAGTTCAATCAAGGAATAATTTCCATGCTAGTTTCTCTGGTACATAGGGTGTACCAAATAATAAAAAGTGTATTAATAATAGGTATAGGACTTTAAATGATACAAAAATACTGCACAATATTCTCACAAACAAATAAAAATATAGTAATAAAAATAATAGTTCAGTCACTTGAATGATATGGTTTAAAACAATCCAAGCACAAAGCCACTTTACAGTCTACCCACTGTAAATCACTGCGCTTCTGTAATCCCGTTTTTGAGCACTGCTGGCATCGTCTTCGCGTGGTTTTCTGCGGCAAATGACCAACATTTTGAAAATACTCCATGTTCAATGGCCTCCCAATTTTTTCGCAGAAAAATCTATTATAAGACTGGTAGCCAACTTGCATCTCTATTCAAGGTGAGATATTGCTTTTTTTCTACTTACTTACTTTATCGTGTCCGGATATGTCATTCATAAAATTTCGGCCCAGTATCGGGCTACGTCGGTTCCATCTTTGTTGGCGAGCCACAAATCTTCAAGGGTACATCGATGAGGACAGTTTCTGCATGTAAGAAGATGTTCCATATTCTGTGTTTCTTCACAGTCACAGTTCACATCATTTTGGTTTATTTTTCCCCATTTTGCCATGTTTGATTTTACTGTAGCAACCCCCGTTCTTATCCTATTCAAGGTTTTCCACGTTTTAAAGTTTAGGGTCTGGTCGGTCCATTGAAACTGGGGAAGTGGAAAATACTCAGGCGGTTCATCCTGCACTGTTTCAAGAAAGCTTTTCCTAGATTTTAGTCGCTTTCGTGGTGTTCGAGCTTTGTATAGGGCATGCCTATCGTCCGCGATCTGTTTAATTTTCTTTATATGTTCTGCAGCGCCTCTGCGAGTTGAGGGTTCTGCAAAACCCGCTGCTCTATATAGATTTGAAAGTGGCGTTGGTTTCATGCACCCTGTTACTATCCTGCATGTCTCATTTAGCGCAGTATCAACTTGTTTGATGTGGACAGATCGGCTCCAAACGGGGCACGCATATTCAGCAGTTGAGAAATACACTTTCTGTGCCGTTGTTCTTAAAACGCCAGGACGTGCGCCCCATTTACTTTCTGTTAGCTTTCTGAGTGTGCTGTTCCTTGTGGTTACTTTCCCTCTTGTTTTATGCAATGTTGTCTATAGGTGAGGGACCGGTCCAGAATTACTCCAAGATATATAAGTTGGTTTGTGTGTTCTAATGCATTACCATTCCACACAATTTGGAGTTTTTGCTTGGCTTTCTTTGTGCGAAGGTGGAAAGCGCAGACTTGGGTTTTAGAGGAATTGGGTCTCAGAGAATTCTGCAGGTAGTACGCTGATATTGATTTTAAGGCAGTTTCGAGTTTTTATTTAAGATAGATGAACCAGAATTGATGTTAAAATTGTGGTTGCTGGATACTAAGTGTTGACCAAAACTTGAAGAGTTTGGTATTTTCAAATGTTCAGAGACTCTAGTGGATAACTTTCTGATGGTTCTATCTACATAAGAGGCATCACAATCATCACATTTTAATTTGTAAATACCACTTTTATCAAATGTATTCATCCTATCTTTGGTATTGATTAAGAAGGAACCTAAAGTGTTATGTGATTTAAAGGAAATTTTGATGTTATCAATTGTAGAAGTAAAAAGTTTAGATATTTTATTGGAAATGCTACTAATTTAAGTGAAGGAGAAATATCTGATGTTATCTGAAGCATTAGGTTGAAAAAACTGTGATGAATATGCAAGCTTTTCTGCAATTTTTAGTTTAGCTCTATTTAGAAGTTTGTATATAATGTTAGGATCATAGCCATTATTGAGTGCATGTTAACATAACTAGAGTCTCTGAACATTTGAAAAGACCAAACTCTTCAAATTTTGGTCAACACTTAGTATGCAGCAACCACAATTTTAACATCAATTCTGGTTCATCTATCTTAAATGACATTAGTAGAAAGAAAAACTATCTTGAGTTGGATTTATTGGAAGATTTGGAGATTACAAGGGAAACAAATGAAAACTCTCACTGTCTTAAAACTCAAATTAATTTAAATTGTACTAAATTTAATCCTATATTTAAAAACTTTATTACAGCTTCACCTCGTAGAGGACACAGCTCGACTGTTTAGATTTCATGCACTCAGCATTTCGATATTAATTTTAAAGTTCTTCCACTGACTGTGGATTCAACTGAACTACTTGGATTATAACCCATTTATATATTTTGCTTCCAATTTTGATTTTAACTTTTAGTAATTTAACTGCATATTCAGATTTTTCCTTTTTTACAGTACTGATAGCGCTTGGTGGACCATTTTATTGTAGTCAACCATCCACTGTCTAATATATTGTTTAGTATTTTTCTTACATTCATACTTTATGTCAACTTCAATTGCTCTCAAACTAACATCCTAATTATTATAGATAGGTTTGAGTGTGAGATTTGGATTAGTCAATCTACATAAAAAAATATACTATATAATTTTATATTTCATCAGTTGATTTCCTATAGTGGTGTCAGTTGGACCTTTGGTCAATACTTAGTTTCATAGAATTTTGAAAGGTGCAGATCACATATCTATTGTAACTGCCCTTTACAAGCTGTCATTTGTCACATGCCATCTCAATATTTCCGCCAGACCGGGAGCCATTCTGTCTCCGGCTTCTATATAACATATAGCTTCTATATTTTTAAAAATTTTAAAGTGTTTGTTTGTCTTTGTGTATTGTATTGTTATGTCCAAATTTACATGTATGACATTCTGCTCATGTCGGATAGGCCACAACTGACGAAGTAAGTCTATAAACGTTTATCACATAAAAACTTTTTTCAACCATAAACTTCGAGTTTTTTATCGAAGTGAATTAATTTTCCTTTTTTATAAAAAAACGTTTCTTGGCTTATTTCAGATGCCCCTGAGGATAATCTATTGATCGAAAATACTTGGGCAAGATTTAATTAATTATTGTGTTCGATATTTGCCTTGTATACCATCAAAGTTCAATTATTCGAACATTTAACCTTATATTTATTTATTAAATGTTCATAATTATTTTAGGCTTTTGTATTTCAAAATAATCACTGTATGACCGAGAACTGTCAATTTTGAAATCCATTAGTGTCATGTCTAATTGGCAAAGTTTTTACGTGTTTGGTTCATAAGCTGGTGTATGTGAGTTTGAATCCCAATATGAATTTCTTTTTTTATTTTTGAAATATTTAAAAAGCTCACGTTAGCCTTATTAAATATACCTATGTAATTTACGCAAAAATGCTAAATTTTAAAATAAAATGAAAATTTACAGCATAATCCGAGTTTTTATTTTTATGGTTTTTATTTTTATCTTCGTACAGTAAGTTATGTATATAGTCTAGGCGGGATCTGTTTTGGATTGGAAATTTTCGAGGGAAGCTATTTTTTTGCTGGAATCCCTTCAGGATATGCCCAGTATCGATAATCACGATATGCGCCAGTCGCAAACCCTGTGCTAAATTTTTTATTTAACAAAATCTGAAAACAATTGAAAATTTCTCATTTTTTTGCTCCTATTTTCATTTATAATTCGAAAAATATTGATCTTAGAGAAAAAATTATAAGTAATTAAAAGTTTCGTTATTCAATTTTACACAATATTTTGTTAGCTTTAAATTGAAAATTTAATGGTTATTGTTGAAAAAATAGCAATAATTGGAAAAAAAGTACAAAAAAATGAAGTTAATCCTTTAAATGTTTTCGACTTTCTAAACTTGACTTACAAGTTCCATATTCCGCCTAGAAAAACTTTTTAATATGTTTAAAACGTGTGCTAAATTTTGTTAAGATCGGTCGGATAGGTCTTGCATAATAATTTTGCAATCCAGCCTACTGGAAAAAAATCGCAAATTTTCAAATTCATAGTAGGCCCTAAATAAGGCCCTCAGATAGTTGCAATTTTTTTTACATATAAAGGAAGTCTCACACTTTCAAACGCTTTTTGCAAAATTCAAATCGGTTTACTAGGAAAGCCTATAAATTTTTTTAAAGTTATAAACATTTTTTAGGCTTATAAACAAATTAAATAACTTTATGAGCTTTAAACATATCAATTTCAAAATGTATACACTTAAAGAACATTAAAAGACGCTTCATTTAAAAAAAAAGATACATTCGGCTTACTGTTTGCCGAGATATTGAAGGTCAAAGTTGGTATACATTTGCCGTGTAACCATAAGTGATAGAGGGCTCGTTTTTAAACAAATACCCTCGTCTTGCCAAATACTTTTTATATGAAAAGTTTTACGTAATGCGCTTCATGGCAACATCCATAAAAAAGACAAATAAAAAACCGTTTTCGCGTAAAATGTCGCTCGGAATGCATGAAAGGTGGTGGTGAGGGACATTCACTTCAAATGTGAATCGGCGAGTATCAAGTAGGGGACCATCAGTTTGTTTAATTTTGAGTTTTGAAATATAAACAAAAGTAAAGTGCTCCAAAATCTGTAAGGGCTTGTAAAGTAAATTGTTACTTTTAGTAAACAAATATGTATTTATAAATTGTTAATAAATAATTTGAATTGTTAAAACGAAGGAATTTTTTTTTTGTAAAAATCATACATTTTAAAATAATTAACATTAAAAATAATTTATTTCTGCAGTTTTATCATAATAACGACATTATTTGATTTGAGAATATATTTTGATTCGAAAGTGACGTGTATATTGTATATTGACGTGTTATTATACTGCTGTGTAATGCTCGAAATTGTTTTTTTTTGAGCTTGCAATTTATACATTGAAGTAAATTGTTACTTTTAGTAAACAAATCTGTATTTATAAATTGTTAATAAATAATTTAAATCGTTAAAACAAAGGCGAATGAAACAAAAATTTTCTTTTCATAAATAATCTTTATTTTGACTCAATCTTCAATAATTTTTTTTAAGTCTTTTTCTTTTTTTGGAAGGACAAGAATCTTCAGGTTTTATTTCTTCCTTAAAACCTTCATTTTCCATTTCAATATCTTCATCCTCGATCTGTAAATTTAATGTTTCTTCTCCTTCATCTGTAGCTATATCTTGTGCCTCCAAAAAATCTAAGGAATCCATCGACTCCATATCCATATCTCGTTCAACTTCTTCCAATATTTTATTGTGATCAATATTTTTACATGTTTGACCATTGCAGTGAAGACAATAGTCAGAATATTTGAGACCATGTTTGATACAACTGCATGTTTTTGTACAAAGTTTTTTACATTTGCAACTAATATTTCTGAATAATGAGTCAGGTAGTAATACTTGCTCAGTTTGTATTGGCTCAAGACCATTTTGAGTTAGTTCCCACCCCCACTCAGTAGCATTCAGGTTATTTCCAAGCCACTGCTGTACTTAGAAATATACACGAAGCGAGTGTTGCTCAGCTGCAGATTGTGTAGGTGACAGCATGGACAATTGAAAATTTTTATTTTTGCAACCTTTTTTAAAGCACAAGTAGCGAATTTTATTCAATGTTAAATCGCACTTTGAGTGGCCTATATACAATGCCGATATAATTTTGCATCCGCTGCGTTTAATTTCTTCCTTAGTGGCACTTGTTTCATTAAAAATGGTTGCTTCTTGCCATATATCATTATTTGTTGAAACCAATTTAACAATTTTGCTTTTTCCTTGATAAAAAAATGCAGAGGTTGTATCACAACCAGAAAATACGTGTAAAAAGCCCACTAAATTTTTTAACGAAGATTTCGTAGATTCACTTTTTTTAAGTGCATTATTGAAAGAGTTGTAGTCATAAATCTCTTCCGATTTTTTTCCTTTGCTAGGTTTATAGAAAAAAATATTTTTATTTTCAGTTACTTTTTGTAAAAATATTACCAGAACATCAATATCCTCTGCAATTATAAAAACTGGCTTGTTATCTGAGGCTAATACATACTTGATACTCGCCGATTCACATTTGAAGTGAATGTCCCTCATCACCACCCCTCATGCATTCCGAGCGACATATTACGCGAAAACGGTTTTTTATTTGTCTTTTTTATGGATATTCCATATAGCGCATTACGTAAAACTTTTCATATAAAAAGTATTTGACAAGACGAGGGTATTTGTTTAAAAACGAGCCCTCTATCACTTATGGTTACACGGCAAATGTATGCCAACTTTGACCTTCAATATCTCGGCAACCAGTAAGCCGAATGTATCCTTTTGTTTTTTAAAAGAAGCGTCTTTTAATGTTCTTTAAGTGTATACATTTTGAAATTGATATGTTTAACGCTCGTAAAGTTATTTAATTCGTTTATAAGCCTAAAAAATGTTTATAACTTTAAAAAAATTTATAGGATTTCCTAGTAAACCGATTTGAATTTTACAAAAAGCGTTTGAAAGTGTGAGACTTCCTTTATATGTAAAAAAAACTGCAACTATCTGAGGGCCTTATTTAGGGCCTACTATGAATTTGAAAATTTGCGATTTTTTTCCAGTAGGCTGGATTGCAAAATTATTATGCAAAACCTATCCGACCGATCTTAACAAAATTTAGCACACGTTTTAAACATACTAAAAATTTTTCTAGGCGGAATATGGAACTTGTAAGTCAAGTTTAGAAAGTCGAAAACATTTAAAGGATTAACTTCATTTTTTTGTACTTTTTTTCCAATTATTGCTATTTTTTCAACAATAACCATTAAATTTTCAATTTCTAGCTAACAAAATATTATGTAAAATTTAATAACGAAACTTTTAACCACTTATAATTTTTTCTCTATGATCAATATTTTTCGAATTATAAATGAAAATAGGAGCAAAAAAATGAGAAATTTTCAATTGTTTTCAGATTTTGTTAAATAAAAAATTTAGCACAGGGTTTGCGACTGGCGCATATCGTGATTATCGATACTGGGCATATCCTGAAGGGATTCCAGCAAAAAAATAGCTTCCCTCGAAAATTTCCATTATGGTCTGAATTTCTACAGATGCCGCCTAGTCTAATATTAGTAGTTTTAAATACTTGTTAAATTACTAAGATGAATATTGTATTTTAGTTTGTATTGTATTATTATATTGAAATATGTTGCAGTTTATTGTATTGTATTTTTATATTAATAACAAAATAAACAATGCATTTTACTGCAGAGTATGTGTAAAAAAATTTTTTTGCATTCTACTGCTTTATACATGTTCTGAAAATAAAACTATATATTTTCATTAAAATATTGATATAATCCTTCATTTACTATACTTTTATTACGGAGCAAATGTTTATATACAGCAAACGATGCACGATATACCTATATACCTAATTCTTTTTCTCTTTCTGCTCTCTCTTACCTATAGCATTACATATGTAATGATTGTGCAGATTGACTCCCATATAAATTTGTAACGGAGAACGCGTGTATAGAAGTATAACTTCTACCGGCAGTCCCGATGGACTGCCACACCCGTGTTTTTTATCTTAATGATCGAGCTGTAAAATTAGAAAAAGCTGATCTTTATTCCATCTAGAAAATTTTAAAACTAAAAGCTAACGTCTATATCAAATAAAACCAATAAATTCAGAAATATTAAGAATAAATAAATTATTTCATTAACTAACCGACTAGTTCTAAGTACAAATGAACCGTAAATATTATTACTGAGTCCGTTGATCCGCTGAAAACAATTTAGTTGCTTTATTTAAGTATTAGAGTACTGAAAGTTGGATACTCTCGTTATGCCTATTGCTTAATTAGCAAAGCGTGTCTCAGTAATAGTAACAATTTACATTTAGAATATGAGCAATAAGTAAATATTCTATTACTTACTAAATTTTTCGAAATACTACACCGTATGCATATAAATACCTAATAATGATATTTTTTCAGATACTGTATCAAGGTAATTTCTTTTTTATTTCATTCGCACCACACAATTTAGATCCCATGCCGAAACATATGGTTTTTATACTTGACACCAGTGGAAGCATGGGAGGTTTTAAAATTAGCCAGCTTAAGGATGCAATGTCAAAGGTTTTGCCTCAGCTAAACGAAGACGATGTCTTCACTATTCTTCAATTTGAGAATTATGTTTACGATTGGAATATATACAAAGATAAAAATGATGTGCTTGGTACCAGCACCGACCCGGATTATCTGCCTTACGGAAATTTGGCTACTAAGCTTCAGGTAAGCGGTGTTTCAATAAATCCCTTTGAAAATATAATAAAATAAATAAATATCAGTTAGCTTCACTTTTAAAACAATTTTCCAACAGCAACATCGGCAAATATATCGTCGGCTTACAAGCGAAACACACTAAGTCAATTTTGTTCACTTTTGAGTTATTTGCAGCATTTTATTGTATTTTTTTTACTCTTTAGACTGGTTAAACTCACTAAGTCATACAATAACAAAAACGGTTATTTTTATAATTATCATGTTTCTCACTAAGTCTCAAAAACTATATATGATTCAGGCAAAACAAAAATATTTGTTTGGGTATATTGCATAGGTTTTGTCAGTTTTGTTCCAGTGTTTTGCGTGATAAGTTCGTTAACAGTTTTGAATTTTACGTGTATTTATTAATTAATTTTTGTAAGAAAAATAAAATTTTCTGTCGAACTACCTACAGCGATAAACAAAGACGTGAGCCTAAATTCTGATAATTTTTGTCAAGATATTCAGTCAGGTCCTCCCATCGAGCAAAAAGATAAAAGAGGGAATGTAAAGGTAGTGGGGACAAAAATATTGTTAGACAGAAAGTGCTATCTTGAGAGGCCACTTTAAACAAGGAAAGACAGTCTCTATCCTTGTTTAAGAAGTCAAATTTAGTTTGGTTATGTTATTGTTTGTCCCAACTGTCACATGAAATTTTATTTATATTGAAGTTTTTTACCAATTATGTCACTTTTTAGACTATTATCGTTGATATTTACTTAAAACTTTCTTGTCTGAAAAATATTTTACAGGTATTGTTAACAAGTGTTGGAAAATTTAAATTTAGCGCCTTTGCATTTCCGGATATGTCCGCCATCAGAGGCCACTTTTTTGGTCTCCTTTTCATAACGATTAGATTCCCTCTTTTATCTTTTTGCTCGATGGGTCCTCCTCAAAATAAGTGACGAGAATTCTGATGAATGTATGGAGGATAGCGACTATATTCCTTCAGGTAATGAAAGTGATAATTTAGATACCAGCGAAGGAAACTCTACAGCAGCCGAGGAAAAAACAAATTCAAATGAAAATAGTCAAGTAGGACCTAAAAGAAGCCGATGGAACACCCCAAGACTATTTGTGTGGAAAAGAAATGTTGAAAAAAGCAAACGAGTTGAAGAAAAACCCTACAAAAGTACCACTGGTAGAATGCAAGCTTCTAAAATTCCAAAAGCGGTTGATTGCTCTAAATGTCGATTTAAGTGCCAAAATAACTTTTCTGAAGAGAACCGGAAGTTGCTGTGTCAAACTGATGCGATGTTGTCATTTCAAAGACAGAAAGATTTTATATTATTGAATGTGCTTTCTAATGAAGTAAAGAGTCGCAGGCCTAGAAAAGGAGAAAATAGCAAAATGCGATCCAACGCAAAATCCTATTTTTTCACAAATATGGGAAAGAAAAGTCAAGTGTGTCAGAAATTTTTTTGTAAAACATTGTCTATTTCTAATATGCCTATAATTAATGTCTTTAAAGAGCAAAATAAAAGCGGCGAATATAGTGGAATAGACAGAAGGGGCCGTAGGATTCCTGGCAATAAAACTTCAGTGGAAACAAAAATAAGAGCAAAAAAACACATTGAAATCTTTCCTGTTGTACAAAGTCACTACACTAGAAAATCTTCGAAAAGACTTTATTTAGATTGCAATCTTAATATTAAAAAAATGCACGATCTGTTCGTTAAAAAGTGTAAAGAGGACAATTTGCCAAGCTTAAGTCAGATAACTTATAGGCGAATCTTTTGCAAGGAATTTAATATATCATTTTTCAAACCTAAGAAAGACCAATGTTTGACTTATAAGGAATACACAAAAGCATCACAACAAGAAAAAGAAGCGATGGAGCTTAATTTTAGGAGTCATTTAGACAGAAAAGAGGCTGCAATGAAAGAAAAAAATTCAGACAAAGAAGTATCGAAAAAGAATAAAAATTTTAACTCAATTACATGTGATATGCAAAGCGTTTTACAAATTCCATCATCGCAAGTAAGTCTCTTGTATTATCTTAGAAAGTTGAACCTCTATAATTTTAAAATTTAGGAATCTGCTTTACCAAATGAGTCATTCTGTTATTTTTGGACCGAAGTCAATGGTAAGAGTGGAAGCTGTGAAATTGGTACTTGCCTAGAAATGTACATTAATTCATTATCTGATATAGAACATCTAATGTTTTTTTCAAATACGTGTGGAGGACAGAACAGAAATATTCAAGTATCTGCTCTGCTTTTACATATTGTTAAAAACCATCCGAGTCTTCGGATAATTGAGCAAAAGTTCATGGAAAGTGGACACTCCTATATGGAAGTAGATTCCATGCATAGCGCTATTGAAAGTGCCAAAAAAATGTGGAGATTTTTAGTGTTAACGAATATGAAAATGTCTTTAAAATGGCCAGAATGGGCAACAATGGGAATAAAAAATCTTCCTATGATACTCGTGAAGTTAATTATAACGAATTCTTAGATTTGAAAAAACTTGCACAATAAACTAGTGTTAATAAGAAAGAGGATCAAAAAGGGCAAACGGTCAACTGGTTAAAGGTAAAGTGTTTTAAGTATGAGAAACAGTTTCCTAACATTCTACAGTACAAGTATAATTTTCACGACAAATATGAAAATATTAACGTTAGTTGTGTACGCCGTGATTCTAACAGAACAGTCAAAGAGGATAATAATAATGAAAATTTGGTTATTCCTCAATTATATTCTAAACAGCTTCCAATTTCGGATGCAAAGAAAAAAGATTTGATAAATCTCTGTGAAAAAAATATAGTTCCGCAAGCGCTCCATACCTGGTTCAAAAATCTACCAAGTTCTTCTTCTGTTCGAGACCAAACAGCGGAGTCAGCTGAAAAGGACTCTGACGAAGAAGACTTTGAAAATTAAAAGCATATTTTTTTTTTTATACACGTTTTGTTTTGTTATACCTGTTTTTTTAATAATGTTCTTGTTCTGTGAAAATATACATGAAAAAAGTAAAAACTTATATAAGCAAAAGTTATTGTATTATTTACAATGTAAACGAAGCCTGCAATAATCGTATGACAGTAAGTAAATAAAAAAAAATACACGTAAGTCATACTTTCATAGCAAAATTATACAAGTAAAACACACTAATTTAAATGCTACATGTAAAAAACATTAAGTCAACGTATTGAAATCGAAAATTAAACAAAAATTAATAATTTGGTAATATATAATTTACTTATATTTATGATTATATTATGATTATAATCATTATTAATACTTTATGAAAACTTTCGAATAATTACAAAACAACAAATAAAAGTTTTAAATGTGAAAATTGATCAAACTGTTTTTAAAAAAATTTAAAACACGATTATCTCAAAACTATATTTTTTGACTTAGTGTGTTTCGCTTGTAAGCCGACGATATGCAAGTAAAGACAAGGCTTTCAGAAAATTCACAGATAACTATCTGATTTACTGACAGTGATCATAAGCCCGAATACTTAAGCGATACCAGGCAAACCAACCGCCTAGGAGAAAGAGTCAGTTTGTCCGTACATAAATCTCTAGATCCGTCAAGGATTTGCCCCAGTAATACAATGTGATCAGATATTTATCAAAAATTAATGGGAAAATCCCTGTAGGGATTATTATTTATCACTCTTATAGTACCTTCGACAACCTCAATTTGGTGTAAGCTAGCAATAAACAAGTCGTTGGTGCTATTCATAGCATAGCTTGAGACCAGACACCTAAAGTTTCCACTTTTCTGTACTTTTCTGAACCAGCGTGCATATTTTAGTTTTTGCATTTGATTTTACTTACTTTTTTATTTGATTTCTTAATAAATTATTGTGATTTTGGAACGGTTTTTGAACCATTAGTGCATAATATATTCCTCTTTCTCCTCATTCCTTGGGCCTTTGTCAGTGTTTGGTGACTACATTGGCTATAAAGATATAGCTATAATAAAGATATTGGCCAACCTTAGCTTAGTATTCCTTGTTATTATTCAGTCTTATATACGGTAGATTATTATTTGCTATGTATACGATCATTTATATGTAACTGATATAATGGGGATATGATGGGGTTACATATAAATCAAAATAAAACCAAATTCATGGCGACTAAGACAAACACAAGAGCTGGAAATGTTGACACGAATTTAATCATCAATGACCAAAACTTCGAAGCAGTCAATGAGTTCATATATCTAGGGACATCGGTTAACCCCAATAATAATACATCTGAGGAAATAAAAAGGCGAATAATAATTGCAAACAGGTGTTATTACTATCAAAGTACTTAGCTAACAAACGTCTGTCTCAAAAAACTCGTATAAGGCTGTATAGAACATTGATAGTCCCCGTTCTCACATACGGATCAGAGGCATGGACGCTAACGAAAACGGATGAATCCGCTCTATCCATTTTTGAAAGAAAGGTGCTACGCAAGATATTTGGAGCGGTCTGTGAGAACGGAATATGGAGGCGTAGATATAACTTCGAACTGCAGAATATCTACAAGCATACGTTTGGTGGTAAAGATATTACCACTATAATTAAGCGAAACCGCCTGCAGTGGGCAAGACATGTAGCCCGGGCCCCTGAATCGAACATGATAAAAAAGATTCTAACAGCGCAACCTGTGGGAATGAGACGACGGGGTAGACCAAAGCTGAGGTGGATGGATGGGGTAACACAAGATGCGGAGAAGATCGGAGTCGGCAACTGGAAAATTCAAGCAAGGGACAGAACAGAATGGCGTAGAAAGGTTGAGAAGGTCGAGGCCCTTTAAGGGCTGTAGCCTCAAGATGATGATAATGATGATGATGATGTATACGATCATTATTTTTTATTTTTTTGGTGTTAATGTGAAGTAGGAATCTTTTACTTTTCCAGCTTAGCCGTTAAGTGATGGTAATCACTTCGACTTCATTCTCTGCTAGATAAGTGTGTCATCTGCGTATTTTAGGTTGCTAATTTTTCTACCACCTACAGTGATTCCTCCATCCCATTCGTCTAGTACTTTTCTCATTATATATTCGGAATTTTTGTTGTATAATAATGGTGATAGTATGCAGCCCTGTCTAGTTCCTATCTTTGTTTTGAACGTATCTGAATATATTCTGTGTATTTTAACTTTGGCTGAGATTTTATCATACAGATTTCTAATAATTTGGTGGTTAGGTACTCTCATCTTTTCCATTATAGTTCAGAGAAGATCCCATTTTACCGAATCGAAAGCTTCTGTGTAATCTACGAAACAGAGCAGCATTAACATGTTGTGTTGTTCTCTCGCTTTTTCTATTATCTGTCTGGTGTTCAGTATCTACTTCCGCGTTTTTTTCCTCGTTCAAACCCGTATTATTCTTCGGTTATCTCTGGAAGTAGAAAGTTCTTTACCCGGTCATCGATTGTATGTAGCAGGACTTTGCTTGCATGAGGAATAAGGGAAAGTGATCCTTTTTTATGGATAATGATGAAAGTTGATTCGCATCACTCGTGAGACCATTTTTTGTTTCTTAGTTGATTAATAGCCTTTTTTACTTATGCTCGTAAGACTATTGGTTCTGCCTCTCTGATTGCACGTTTCTTGTGTTCTGACTAACGAATCTTTTCAAGCGTAATTTTTCTATATCACTGCAATTCTTTCTATGTCGGTTTTTACTTCTTCATTATGATCTTGAATGGCTTAAAGTAGTGGCTTGAACTATCAGTCCAAATATTTTTAACTTTCTTTAATAGTTCATGACTTTCATGGCGGTTGGCATGTTGCTCCAGTTCTTGACACACTTTATTTATATGGTTGTTTTTATCACTGGTGCACATACCTTTTTTCTCTTGTTTAGTTTCGCTATTTTTTGACTGTGGCTTCCTGTTTTTATGGTATACTGTAGCATAACTATTCTTCTTTTCACTAATTTTAAGGTTTTCCCTAACATCAAATGTTTGTCCTTTTGGGATTTACGTAGTGTGCCCTCTTTTTTCGCTGAAATTATCTAGTTTTCGTTCCATTTCACGTTTTGTTTATTTCTATATTGTCGTATTGCTGACTACATACCACTGGGAAAGGTTGTTGATCCAGGATTTGCTTCGTCGTAAGTATTATTTCATAAAGTACTCCAATATTATTCGTTTAGGGCATTCAAAATTTATTTAAATTTTTTTTTGTTTAGACGTTGTAAAATAAAAAAAAATTAAAAACTAATTTAAAAAAATATTGAGTAACCTTGAAATCTCTATTGCTGACCACTTCATATGCATAAACAGCATAATAGATATACTTAATGATTATTGGCTTATATTATTGGAAATTCAATCACTTTGGATTGCTTAATCATCCTAGTAAAAAAAATACCCATCACTTCCCAATACCAAACACTACTATAACACACTAAAAAAACAATATAATACAATTACAATCGTATTATATTGTTATTACAATCTATTGTGTTGCTTAAATTTTTAATCATTTTTGTTTTGCAGTCGTATACCCCTTCGATAATTCCAGCCACTAAGGAAAATATTGCAACAATGACGGATGTCATTAATAACTTTTATGATTATGGTGGTACGAATAGTGTAGGAGGTTTAGAAGTCGGACTAATGGCTGTGTCGAAAACCCAACAAAAATATCCAAATAAATATTTACCCATTATGGTCTTTCTCACAGACGGAGTACCATACACTGGTATTACTGATACAACTAAAATCGTTGAAGTGGTAATTTATTTCCTTTCGCATTTATTTTAATTCATAATAAAATGTTATTTAAATTTAAAATTTGGAATTAAAAACTTATACATACAAGGTGCTGTATACTTGAATGCACGATAGGAAATTCTAAACTGTTATAGTCCTACCAGAGATCTAAGAGAGTCATTAATATTTTTTATCGATAAGTGTCTACCGTAAGGCAGCGGGGGATCGCCTCTGGACAGGATCGTACTTTCATTTTAGATTTGCATTACTTATTCGAGTGTTAGGTGTGTTTAAAAACCGGTCTTTATCATTGTCTACTAAAGTTATAATAGTTGCAAAAATATTTATATACACTACATTCACATGTTTAAAAAACTTTATCATTTCTAAATAGAGTACAAAAAGTACAGAGGCAAAAATATTTTAGAAAATTATTTTCAAAATTGAGGTTGGGTGTGTCTATAAGCTGGTTTTATACCGTTATCATCTGAATTTAAAAATATTTACATAAATTATGTCTACATAGAAAGTTTACCATTTATAAATACAATTTAAAGAGTACTTACATTTAAAAAATTACATGGACAAGTCAGTTTCACTGTCGTTGTCTAGATCTATATCATTAGAAAGTGGATAACTTTAATTTACAACTTAATACTCTTAAGCAAATAGCTTTCAATAATGGTTATGATCCCAATATTATCTATAAGCTTCTAAATAGAGCTAAACTCAAAATTGCAGAAAAGCTTGCATATTCATCACAAAGGATTCCTCCACCTAATACTTTAAATAACATCAGATATTTCTCCTTCACTTATATTAGCAACATTTCCAATAAAATATCTAAACTTTTCACATCTACAATTGAAAAAATCAAAATTTCCTTCAAGTCACACAACACTTTAGGTTCTTTTTTAATCAACACCAAAGATAGGATGAACACACTTGACAAAAGTGATATTTACAAATTAGAATGTGATGATTGTGACGCTCCTTATGTAGGTAGAACCATTAGAAAGTTTCAGTAGAGTTTCAAAATATTTAAAAAGACCAAACTCTTCAAGTTTTGGTCAACACTTATTATGCAGTAAACACAATTTTAACATCAATACTGGTTCATCTATTTTACATGACGTTAGTAGAAAGAAAAAATATCTGGAGTTGGATTTATTGGAAGATTTGGAGATTACAAAGGAAATAAATGGAAACTCTCATTTTCGTAACACTGCTCCCCTCTTAGATCTGAGCGTCTCGATCAGCAACTCTATATGTAGGCACAGGATGACGGAATCTACAGGCCTCTCCAGCTCTGCATGAACCCCTCAAGAAGAAATAACAGTCTACTGAATTTGAAGGACACGATCTTTTTAGGTTAATGCAACACACAGTAATTCTTACGCCGGTTCTCGGAAGATCACTTCAAGCATGCTTCTGACAATCTTTCAATCCAGATTATCTAGTGCATGGCCTATCTTGGGTAAGGCCAAATTCTTGATGTCATAATTGCACACGATTTTCTTCAAATTAGTTAGAGCACGCCATATATCATCGTAGCTTGCCCTGTCTGTATACGACTTCCTGGTCACCATATACAGCAAAGATCCAGGGCCATCTTCTAATCTCAGTACTCACACAACTTTAGGTTGCTAATTTTTTAACTCGTCTAAACGACGAACTTCTTATAAAATACAAATGAGATTCCTTTAGTCATCTCAATATCTTGGGCAACACAGTGGGCCAGAGAAACGTTATGCAGAACACTAAAAAGATCCTGCTGAACTTCTGTCGTTACGCCGAATCTAGCACTCTTTCTCTCTGCGTAATCAGACATAAATTCATTAAAGCTTGGTCACCGGTCATCTTTAATCTCATGTTAAAGGGTTCGTGCTTCTTCTGTTTCATTTGAGCCAGCATAAGGTGCAAGACGATTTATGTGAACTACTTTTGGTTTACCTTTCGGCAACTTCTTAATTCGGTATAGTACGTCATTTATTCTCTTTTTAATTTCATACGGGCTCTCTCATTGTATTTGCAGTTTAGAAAACAAGCCACGACGACGTTGTGCCGACGGCAGGTTGGAATCTGGCCTATAGTTTCATTCACGGCCGAGCGGTAGGCCATTAGGAATAAATAATTGTGCTGGTCCCAATCTCTTTGATGTTCTGATACAACTTTGGACAGGCGTTTACCCATCGTTCGGTTTATTCTCTTGACCATTCCATCTGATTGCGGATGCAGGGGTGTCGTTCTGGTCTTATTCAGCGAGATAAATAAAACAAGCGGTTCGAATTTATATAAATATATGTAGTTAAATTTATATAAATTATCTAAAGTAGTCCCACCTCTAATTCGTTGTTTGACACATGAATTTTCTTGCGTTCGAGAGATCTGTGGATGGTTCTCGAAGCCGTTAAGAGATGCAACCGTTACATGGGCCATGCCGAAAGCATGTTCGTAACCATATATTAAAAAAATACGTGACTTCTGCGTCACGAGACTTCGTTCATCACACAAATAACGCATATACTCAAAAAAATTAAAAATCATTCTCTTAATGAAATATTAATAATAATAATGAAACTAAATATAAAATTAATCATAAAATGGATTACAGGAATATACCATGCGGTCGATATGTATGGAATAAATTTATTTTTAGCGTTATTTATGTAATATGTGAATAAACCTGAAACAGCTCGATTTTTATTCTTAAATTGACAATTTACAGTATAAAAATATAATCTCCCTACAACACCCTCTTTGAATTATAAGCACCCCTTTCGAAAATTTTAAATAACCAAGGGGGTCGTGTGGCACCTTGTTAGAAAGGGATTTAGTCTTCTGTTCAGCAGTATAAAGTTTATTGAGTTTGTGCAATTATAACTGAGACACATAACTTTAGGTTAAATAAAGATAATAATGTCACATAATATTTAGAATGTATTTTCAATATACTTTACAATTACCTAAATTAAATGTTCAAAATGACCACCATTCACTTCTTGATAATAACCGAGGCAATTTTGGAATTCTCGTAAAATATCTTGTACTACCTCGGGGGTTATTTAATATACTATTTGGTCTATTAAAATATACTTTAGATTTTAAATATGCCTCATAAGAAGTAATCGAAAAGAGTCAATCGGAAGAGCCATTCGATCGTTCCACATCTTCATCCACCTATTGGGACAACCTCGTTTAAATAATTTCTAACTATACGTGTAAAATAGATCGATCTATCTCATTTTGATGATTAACATCAGGAAAAAATCTTCGTAATATAGGCACTAAAAATTTAAGGAAAAAATCTAGATGAACCTTACCATATATACTGATACACTCAAAGTATAAAACTTTAACGTAAATTGTCTAAATAAAATGTTTACGCACTCACTTAAAATCAGCCGGTGACGAATTAAACTCATTCTCCCTTGATCTCCCGTGATAATGTGTTGAGATGCAAACACGACAGGTATACCCAAAGAGATGAAAATGCCTTCATGTCTCGTTATCAGAAATAAAACGGTAGAAACGAAGGGCGTTTCAGTATGAAGTCTAGCCATGAAAACCTAGGAAGATAAAAATCTTTCTATATATCGAGTTTTGATAAATCTACAAGAAAAATATTTAAACTTTCTACTTTAGATATGTGGGTTTTTCGCCAGTAAACAATAAACCTGCATATGTCGATATTATGACAGTACTTTACGAAATGAAACCAAGTCGGGGACTCGGTTTTTTTTTATTATGAATCGCTGGTCTAATTAAAATTATAAAGATGTCTTTATTAGTTCTTGATGGAAAGAGAGTGCATTTGCAGTATCAGTTTGTTCTCATGGAAAAATCCTAATTTTTATTTTCATTACACTTGAAAAGTGTAATGAGAAACTTGAAAATAAAATGTAGTTCTCGTCAATATTACGAATTTTTTAAAATAGGCCCGACTCACACAGAGTTGATGATATGGGAATTAAAAAAAAACATGGCATGATACACTGTCGTCGAAATTTTTAAATTCAACAAAAAATTTAACTGCTATACCTACATGTACTGTTTGATAAGACTTATGTATTGTTCTGAAGCTATTTTCTTGTGGCATTTTAAATTAATTACTATTTAACTGGGAATAGAGTGATGATTCATTGGCAACTAGAACAAGACTAAACATATCGGCTATAATGGAGTTATTAACATTATGTACTGATAATACATATTTTCAACTAAATAATGAATTCTATAAACAAAATTTTGGTCTAGCAATGGGCTCTAGTTTATCTCCATTCTTAGCCGATATATTTATGAAAGATTTTGAAACAAATATCATTTCTAAACAAAATTTAAAACCCACAGTATGGTGGAGGTATGTAGATGATGTATTCTCAATATGGCCTCATGGATCAGAGTTGTTGGATCAGGTTTTTTTCCTGGTGTTTCCCTCATAATTTACTATGGAATCACTAACAGGAGAATTTTACTGTCATCATGTCATGTGTTTGTCTTTTTAAAGACGAATTACATGCTATGATTTTTTTTCTGACGGATATTCTCAAGTTAAAGTTGATTTCATATAATCGAATGAACTATCTTAAAAGTAAAGTCGTCCCAGGAGCGCAACTCAGCAATATTGGCAATATTATTTTAAAGTCGTCTACTTTAAAATGCATAATGTATGTCTGAATTGTCAATATAAATGAGTCAGATAAAATTAAATTATTAGAAGAATTTTTCACTATGTAACAAAAAACAAAATTTGTTTAATTTATTGTTTGTATTTTGAGAACGATTTCCGAAGTGGAAATTGAAACGTCAATAAACGTATTTTTTATCTTTAATTGTGGCTTATTCCCAGTTAAATAGTAATTAAGACTTATGTGACATTCACTAAAAGGATTTCTACGAATCCCATATTCTAAGTTATGAAGAAAGACAGATAAAAGCATAAGTTAAAGACAATTTGGTTTCACAAATGGTATGGAAACGAGCATTGCAAATATTAATCCAAAAATGTCTTGATCAGCAGAAGTATGTCTTCGCAGGTTGTACGAGAAGGCATCGATTTTTTTACTTTTTTATTTAGAATTTCCTATCGCTTTTTTGTGCTTTAAAAGATTCACTACTCATTTTATTCTATGTAATTATAAATATGTTCTTTATAAATGTTACAGATTACGAAATTAAACAAAGCTAGCTACAATGTTCCCATATATTGTCTGTCTTTTGGAGAAGAACCAGATATAGACCGACACTTTCTGCAAAAATTAAGCGGACTTAACCCAGGTGAAGAACATAAAATTTCTATAGATTTGGATTCATCGACATATATTCAAGGTTTCTACAAAAAGATTTCAGGTCCTTTGTTAAACAATGTCGCATTAAATAATTTACCACCATCAGTTGAAGTTACACAAATTTATTTCCCAATATATTTTCAAGGATCGGAATTGATGATTGCTGGAAAAGGTAGGCACTTATATTTGAAAAAGTACTTAAGTGATAGGCTTATATCGTCGGCTTAATTTGCAAAATGCGTAACTCCACATATGGGTGAAAATTTTAATTTGGTGTCATCTATTCACATTAGGGCGCATCCGATAACATAGACGGTAACTCCAATATTAAATTGCTTTATTTATTATCTGCACAACAGAAAACCAAAGTACAGCCACACCAATTTCGCGATAGCAGAATACGTAACTCTAGTAGTTCCCTTGTTGTTGTAAACACTGCACATGTGCTCCTAAATTTTAAGTTAATAGTGAAGTAATTTAAGTGATTACATTCGTGAAAACACTGTTACTAGGTAAGTAACATTTTAAGTTATAATATAGATTAATTTAAATGTTATATTTATTGCCAAATATTGTGTAAATTTACGGAAACTTCAAAACAATCAGCCGGACGGATTTTTTGTCGACGACTTGGCAAACGAAATATGGTTAATGATAAGGTTAATGATATTGGTTTATTTACTTGGAATATGCGTACGCTTTATAGTGCAGGTAAACTAAGAAGTCTGTCCAATACACTTAATGAATATTCAGCAGGCATTATAGCACTTCAAGAAATCAGATGGACAGGTAGTGCTAGCCTAGAAAAAAAAGACTACAATCTCTAGTACAGCGGAGATAAAAATAATCACATTTTTGGCGTGGGGTTCATACTGAATAAACGACTGAAATCAGAAGTCATAGCTTTCGATCAAATAAGTCCAAGGATATGTAGAATCCGAATTATCAATATCCATGCTCCTACTGAAGATAAAGAAGACGAGGAGAAGGACATGTTTTACGAGAAACTGGAAAGCACTTACAGGCAATGTCAGAACAACGACATAAAGATTATTATTGGCGATTTTAACGCTAAAGTCAGTCAAGAGACTATTTACCGACCCACGATCGGCGAGCATAGTGTTCATGCTGTCAGCAACCAAAATAGTTTACGCCTGATTGAACTCGCAGCAACATTGGGAATGGTGGTAGTAAGTACGTGTTTTCCTCATAAAAATATCCATAAAGCCACATGGACGTAGTAGATGTAAGAGCATGTAGAGGTGCTAATATAGACTCTGACCACTACCTTGTAAGAACAAAACTCAGGGCTCGTATATCACATGCTAAGAAGGGCCCGAGCACAAAATCTAGAAAATATAATGTTGATGTGCTAAAATCTGAAGACGCTAGGGATAACTACAGGAAAATTTTAAATGAAGAGCTGACAAGAATCGACGAAAATTTAAGTATAGAAGAACACTGCACCAAATGCAAGGAAGCCATCCATACAGCGGCTAAAGGCTTTTTAAAACCTAACGAGACTAAAATAAACGAAGATTGGTTTGACGAAGAATGTAGATCCATTAACCAAAAGAAAAATGAAGCGTACAAGAGACTTCAGCAGCGAAGAACGAGATCAAACCTAGAAGTCTATGAAAATCTTAGACGAAAAGAAAAAAGGGCGTTTAGAAAGCAAAAGAAAGAGTAATACGAAAACGCTCTAAACGAGATTGTTAACTACCACAACAGAAAAGACTCGCGAAAATTCTACCAGAAGATAAACAGCTGCAGAAAAGAATTCAAACCCAGAATAACAGCATGTAAAGACAGAGATGGTTCCATAATAGATACTAAATAGGTGGGCGAATCATTTTGAAGAACTGCTTAGCGACAGTCGTGAAGAACACCAAATAGGCCTTCAAAAACTCTTTAAAAATGTTGGTGACACCCTTTTTAAACACATGCATAAACTAGTAACCGAAATCTGGCTACGGCAGGAAACGCCCGCAGACTGGAAATTAGGTATAATGCACCCTCTTCGCAAAAAAGGAGATATGATAGTGTGTGATAATTATAAAGGCATCACCCTACTTAACGTAGCATATAAAGTATTGTCCAACGTATTGTACAGAGGATTGACTCCCTATGCTAAACAAATAGTTGGAAAATACCAGTGCGGTTTCCGACCCAAGAATACAACAACGGATCAAATATTCACAGTCAGGCAGATTCTAAAGAAAACTCTTGAGTTCGGAGTCGACACCCACCACATATTTGTGGATTTCAAAGCCGTGTATACGACTCAGTCAACAGACAAAAACTTAGAGAGCGTAGTCAGAATCCAAAACGACTTTTTAAGACCCTTCCATTGTAAAAATAGACTGAGACAGGGAGATGTACTGTCGTGTTTCTTATTTAACCTTGCACTAGAAAAAGTAATTCGAGAGTGCCATATTAATACGAATGGCACCATATTTAATAAATCTGTACAAGTTGTCGGATATGCAGATGACATAGACATTATTGCTAGTTCCACGGAATCTCTGATCGAAGCATTTCGATCATTAAGGGAGTCTGCACTGATAATGGGATTAAAAATAAACGCACAGAAAACCAAGTATATGTATTGTCCTAGATCAGGCAACCAAATACCTAGACTATTAATTGATTATCTGGAATTGGAAGGTGTGAAAACCTGCATCTACCTGGGCTCGCTGCTGACCAACGACAACAATGTTAGCGAAGAAATTAAAAGAAGAATAGTGCTTGCCAATAAGTGCTATTATGGCTTGAGGAAACAGATGGCCTCAAAACTACCCAGAAAAATTTAAATTACCATATATATATATATATATATATATATATATATATATATATATATATATATATATCCCGTTTATAGCGTAATCCGCCTTTGGGTTCCCGTTCGCCAAGCCTGTCTATTCTGCCAGTCTTCTTCAAATAGATTTCTTGCTGACATGGCTTTTGAAATTCCTTGCATCCATGTTGTTGGTGGTCGTCCTCGTTTTCTTTTCTCTGGTGGTATCCATTCTAATATTTTTTTTGGTAGTCTTTCTTCCCCCATACGTCTAACATATCCGTACGATGTCAGTTGTTGTTTTTCGATGTCTTCTATAATTGATCTTTGTACATTCATTTGATTTCTTTGTCCTCATTTCTCACATGTTCTAATCGAGACTTTCCCGCTGCTCTCCTCCAAAAATCCATTTCTACTGCCAAGAGGTTACCTTTAAGTTTTTGTGATAACTGCCATACTTCTGATGACTGATCATCAAAATTAATTTACTAAAATCCTTATTTAAAGTCTAGTAAAATCTTTATTTAAGTCATTAGAATCTAGTTTGGTCCCGTGTCATTTGTGAGTGACCCAAAAGTGGGTTCATCTCGACGTTTCGCTACAATTGTATGTAGCTTCTTCAGGAGAACAAAGAAAAAGAAAAAGAAGACAGGAAGATGGGTAGTTAGCAACGGTAACTCAGTTACTCAACGCAACCAGAGGCGAATACTTGGTTTTCACCTCTGGCTGCGTTGAGTAGTTGAGTTACTGTGACCAAATGCGCATCTTGGTAGTTAGTATTCGCCTCTGGTTGCGTTGAGTAACTGAGTTACCGTTGCTAACTACCCATCTTCCTGTCTTCTTTTTCTTTTTCTTTGTTCTCCTGAAGAAGCTACATACAATTGTAGCGAAACGTCGAGATGAACCCACTTTTGGGTCACTCACAAATGACATGGTCCAAACCCGGAAGACGAATAAACTATAATTCTGACTCTGGCCGTGGAAGCCTACGATTTCATTTCATTAGAATCTAAAAATATTCTCAAGGATCCGTCAGGTTTTACAACCATTAAAATATTACTAGACAAATCATTTTGTTTAATTCTAACTTACACTTATATGGTTTTTGTACTGTTAATTAATGTTTTGTAAATTAATCCTTAAATTTGTTTTTGTGTATTCAAAAAACACTTAGCATCATTTAAATTAAAATATGCGTAAAGTCCTTATGGCATACCGCTATTTTGGTTTTTCTTTTAGTTTTGGTATTTTGGTTTTTCGCTATTGTATTCTATTAGATAAATCTTGTCATACAATACCTCGCACGTCACGATTGACCAGATAGTTGCAAAGATACGTGTCTAAAGCCCCTTTAGCATGCTGCCATCTTTGATTTTTTTCTCATCGTATTCTATTCGCTAAATCTTGTCATATGACACGTGGCACGGTCCTGTATGTTAAGTCGTGTAGGAACTACAAGAATAAGGTCTTTTTGACCATTCACTCTTTAACCCCAACCCTTTATTAGTTATTTCTTGAGTAGCCCTCTTTCCAACGACTCCTTTTAGGTCACGTTCCAACCCAGACGTCAGAGTGGAAGTGAAGGGGAGTAGCCCAACCTACCCAACCTCTACTACAATTTAAACAAATTAAGCTAACTCACTTTTGGTCGTAGGAAAAAACTTTTTTTGTAATCTTTGTCTTGACTTTAGCTATAAGAATCAATAAGTTAAAAATGTGTGTAACGTATAGGGAGCGTTGTAGCTTAATTAATTTATAAGACAAAAGTCGCTTCTATTTAAAAGTAATACATAAGAGGTAGAAAAATTTTTAAGCAAATATTTTTTACCTACATAAAATTGAATCGACCAAGAAGAAAATATACACGTGGAATGTTAAAACGTTATATGAAGCAGGAAAGCTTAAAAACTTCTTACTTGAAATAGGCAGACTCGATATCTCTGTAGTAGAAGTCTGCAAAACAAGGTGGTCAAACAACGGACAGTACAATTCTCAAGACTATCAGATATATTACTCTGGGAGAAACCATGAGTCATATCAAAACAACGTAGCGTCATACTAAAGAAATCGCTTGCAAAGTCTGTTCCATTATCAGATCGAGTAATGCTAATTAAATTAGCTGTATTCCCAGTGGATATAAATATAATGCAAGTATATGCACTAACTACAGAAAAAGAAAATACCGTGATTGAAAAATTTTATCACTGTGTCAGAAGCCTTAGCTATGACAAAAAAAACGAACTCTTATCATTGGGGACTTCAATGCAAAAGTGGAATGAGAAAGTAGTCTTAATATTACTGGAAAGTTCGGTCTAGGACAACGAAATGAAAGAGGAGAACAGTTGATGTGGTTCTGCAAAGAGGAAAAATTT